GAGCACACAGTCCACCTGATGGTAAGTGGTTGCTGTGGCACATAGACATCTACATTTATAAACTTCCGCTAACTAAATACAATGATGTGTCTTACCTGGATTGAAGAGCACCTCCCGCCCTCCCTCAATTGCATGCACTAACTCCGCAACCACTAGTCCCAGCACCACTACTCCCGGCACCACTACTTCCAATACCACTATTCCAGGTAAGACACACCATCGACGATAATACGACACGTGTTTCGCCACTACGAGGCATCCTCAGGTGATGTAAGACTCTACGGCGGCTGACCGCTAAGTCTTAGCGGTCTACTCTCTACTCTTCAATCCAGGTAAGACACATCATTGTATTTAGTTAGCGGAAGGTTGCGAGGTAATTTATATTTTTATTATAATGGATTTCCGCAAAGTAACGCCTGATTCTATCAATTATCTACATCTATACTCGATTACGAATCAAAATGCAGATGCGTTGTCACCCGTGAGGATAAGATGGAATGCCTCGTTTCCAGTAAAAAGGGTCTCCGGTTCTCTACACTCACCATACAAAACACAGCGGTATTAAGCTACTATTTTATGCTGGTATTCTGTGAGAGCGTGGCCCTCCCCCGGTCGAGCCAACCCATTAGTGCTACAACTGTACTACTAATATAACTGCAGCTTGGCTCTACCACGTATAATACTAGTTGCAATATAAAATTATATAAACACGAGAATTATTTTAAAAAACAGAATATTCATGTTGCAACGCACTTTTCCCGCTATTCGTTTATGACGTCATCAGGGTGTCGTCTATCCTTGACCACGGCGCCCAATAAACTAATAATCGATGACGCGCTAAGGATGCGCCAGAGTTGAGATATTGGATTTATTATACGAAGTTCATTTGATGAAATTTTCTTTTATTTATGTAGCTGATTATATTTTTATGTTTCTTACCTTTTGTTTTATTCAAATATCAATAATAATTTAAAAAATAACACGTTTGCGTTTAATTTTGAATAGTTTTCAATAAATCTATGCTTAACGCATTACAACACTAGCGGTCAAAAATAGACGACATTGGCGTGCTGGACATGATATTTGCTTGGATAAGAAACCATTTTTTACTTCAAAGTTTCTGAGTACTTGTGGCTATAAGAGACTTGTTTTATAAACTTTCACATTGCTGGGATAATCTATATTGAGAAATGTAGAATTAAAATACCAGTAATAATTTTCCAATATCTATATTTCATAGTTTTGTGGGCCGGGTTTTTTGTCAACTGTAGACGTCTTTGGCACTCAGGGCCCACAGGTGCTGGTCAAATATAGGCGATTTTGGCGCTCAAAAGGTTAATACATCCACCATAAATATAGTCTTGACCTTGCACCCTCAGATTTTCACCTGTTTCGGTCACTTCAGAATTCTTTGGGTAGTGTTAGGTTACATCAAGACAGGACTGTCGACTATGGCAATAAGTTATCGAACAAAATGCCACATAATATGTATGTTATAATTTAATGTAATAAAACTTTGAAAAAAAATGTGTATATAAAATACGAAGACATTTTTCCCCGACGTTCGCCGTCGCGCTTTTCTTTTCTTTCGGCGAAGTTCGCCGAACAAGACAAGAAAATTATATTTGATTTGAATTGTTTGGCTAGCTTAGTTCCTAGGAGTTAAAATATATAATTATTGTTACGAGCTTGAGGTTCGTGACAATAAAAATTGCCGATAAAATTACCTAAATTAACACTTTAATTATCTTTACACAAATTTAAACTTAAAACACTAATAATTAATCACACTGATTCACTTTATTCCACTCAGAAGCTTAGGTTGTCTCGCCAATTCAATACTTCCCCGATCGCACCTTGCAGCGCCTATAAATACACATTAGTACCGAATCATCCAAAACATTCAAGTAAATACGCGCACCAATCGACAAAGCCCCGAAAGTTCGAGAGTCAGCTTCCAGAAGCTTCGTTCTTCATTTCGAAAACAGATGGCGCTGTCGGTTGAAAGATTAGTGATGTTATTTTCTGGAAAGCTCTCCCCTCGCTCCGTTACCCGACACTAGATGGCGCTAGTGCCAGATGTCAACTTAGCCGCGCAACATTATTTTAATTTAATGCGAGCGGTTTCGGGCCTTTCATTTGGGTCCCCCAACAAATTTTGATACAGGGCCTGTCTAAGACACGCTCCGCCACTGACTATAAGGGTTCCTTGTTATTTTACCATGGAACCCTAAAAAGACTTGTTCCGCTGACCAAACTAAAGAGTTCAGATGATTTTATTTATTCGAGTGCGTTTTGCTCATGCTTGTTTTTTTTTCTTCTCAGGAAATTATCGATATGGTAGCATCGCAATTAATTCGTCTGTCTTACACTCTATAACTTTTTCTATGTTGATGTATTTAACTTATAAGTTTGCGTAAAATGTACCTAATATTAAAAATGTGCCATAATGACACAAATTTTTATTGAGTAGGTGTGCAGTACTGTCTATATAGTGTTTCCTCGCTCCGTACCAAGTGACAAGAATTTTTTTAACATTAGGCGCATTAATCGTCCTTTGGTTGAATGGTCTAAGGTATAATTTATTATATTGCATACTGATGAATTTGGCATTGTGTTTGCCAATTACGACATAACGGCAAATCTAACACTGCACTGCGTTAAGGATTCCACGTATAAAGTATTGAAGAGACTTTTAACAACTTACAGTATTTAAAAAAAAAACATTTTTATAACAAAGCCCACACCTTTCTTTTCATAGCAAACATAATCATTCATACGGAATGCGAAAACGAGTAATCATTGCATTGTCTGCATGTAATACGAAATACTATGCCAAATAAATTATATAAGGACAAAGAGAGACGCTCGTCCATTTTAAAAAATATAAAAAATACATTCATAGATAACACACTGCGGCGCGGCGGGTGCGACGGTCGTACGAGACGAAGGCGCTGCGCACACCGTGTACGACTTATATTCATAAATATGACTCGTATACCTAATATAATGATGGTTTAATGCCATAAAGCTATATCCGACAGGTGTAAGGGCCGTTGTTAAGTCCGCGGCTTAAGGTATTAAATGAAAGAAAGGTATGAGTTTTGTATTTGTACTTTTCAATATTTTAACCCTGAATTTTCTCCTTGAATTTCTTGGGTTGGGTTTACAATTCGGTCGCCTGAATTTGAAGATTCTGTCACTGTGGGGGAGTCAAGGGGGTTTATCTGAAGCACCCCCACTCGATTTTTTCTGCCGGAGCAGCGTCGAAGTATTTTTAATTATTTTTTAAAAATATTGGTAAATGACTAATTTAATTACGTTTTTGACGTTTCATCTGTCAATGTCAAATCGATATATAGTACTGAATCGATCTAGTGAATCGATATTTCACCCTAGAGAATCGAGATCGAATCTTTTTCTGTTTTATTTAGATTTGCAAAATTATTTACAATTGGTTGAATGTACCCCAACTCGTAAAGAATGACAGTTTTTAATTTAATTATTCAATGTTATCTGTACTTTATTGTATCTTTTGATATCGTAAATATAAACTTTTAACGCAAATAAAAAAAAACGATTTTTGCGAAATTGATCTTTAAGATTTCGATTTTTTGTGAATCGATTCATCTAATTTCGATTTGAATCGATTTAAAAATATGAAAAATTAAATCGCTATGCCGGCCATTTTGTTGACAGCTTTTCCTCACGGTGATGCTTCCGAGTTTCAGAATTTTGGTGAATAGTGAAATATTTGTGGCGGCGGAATACTGCTAAATATCGCAAAGATCTTTTCTTACAAATGGTGGCAGCCATAAATTATGTTTATAAATTAAAGTAGTTACGAAAGTTAATAATTTGGTGTTATATCGAGTGCAATAGCGAGCGAAGCGAGCCTGGGACGTGGAGCACCCCGACTCGGACAGGTTAGGTTAGAAGAGGATGACGGGGTCGTGTGAGCGAGCGAAGCGAGCGAATAGACCCCGTCATCCTCTTCGTGGTTATTTTTTTTGTAAACCACTTAGAAGTAGGAGCCCCGCGAAGCGGGGCTCCGTCGACCGGACCTCCCTCGACTGCACCACGTTAAGTGGCGTGGGGCTTCCATCCTCCAACTCTCTCTACCCATAAATCAGGTTAAAATTGTCATAAAAATTACGAAACATAACCTCAAAATGAGATTTTTAAAAATTAATAAAAAAAAAAACTAAGCACGTCCGGCAGAAAGTGGAAGTAGGGGGTGACTGTACAACTCCTCCCCCTCCCCCCACGCCACCCCCCACCCCCAAATTCAGGCGACCGAATTGTAAACCTTACCCAATTTCTTCGCCGGCCTTTTTTCACTAATTGCTTGGACTCGTGCTTAGATTCCAGACAGTATAGGCAAACCCACGTCTCAGATCCATAAGTCATCACTGGTAACACGCACTGGTGGTACAATCTTGTTTTCAGGTATACCTGATGAGAAGGTTTGTCGTAATCTCCTGAACGCTGCCAGCCGAGTTGAATCCGTCGATTGACGGTCGGACTATGTCCTAGGTAAACATAATCGGCGACAACATTATACATGCATACATCTGTAAATTCTAACGAGGAATCAAGAAAAAGCTTTATATCGTATTACTTTTATTGCTTTTACAAAATGTTTTAATATTTTTGACCCGAATCATTACAATATGTTGCAGGAGATATAGAATAAATACAGATAAAATCCTGATTGTGAGTGAAGTAGCACATATTATGCTATTCATTACGATTCTCAATAGGCATTATATCCAGATAATGCATACGAGAATTAAATACAATCACCTAATTTGTTTTAAAATAACATGCTACCATTAAAACTTAGATAAAAAGATCAATTTTTTCTTATGTACAGACATTTTCTAAGATATCAACTACAAAACAAGTCATACCTGTAAATGGTAAACAATAAATAATACTCATGCAAAGAGTAATAACAAACAACGGTAACGTTATAACTAGTGTTAAATAAATAGCTGTTAAAAAGTTTCTTCTTCATCACAGTTCTCCGTGGCGTGACCAAACACTGAAACAATTGAACAGTTATCATATATTATTATAAAACATGTTATTAATAAAATTTATATGATACACAATAAAACCAAATTAAAACAATAAGGTAAAATAATGGTTCTTCTCTTGATGTAAGTGAAATACTTTCAATCAAGGGTTTCCTAACCGAAAGGATTAAGAAATTATTTAGAAAATTGCATCGAAGGCACTTAATGTTCAGCAAACTGTTTATTGGAAGTGGATTATTCCTGTAAATTTTTGCAAATTGGCCCCTGTTAAGCGGTCAACCATAGAGATGACATTATGACTAAAAATGGCAAATTAAATATTTTTTTGTTATTTTAAATAGGATATGAACAAAATATTTGTGGTATCTCAGTATTCGAATTTGTTTTCTGTCTGAGAGTTGATTCTACCGTTAAATAGAAATGCAGCAATTGTTGTATTCCGATTTGAAAGGCGTGGAGAGCCAGTATAATCATACTGCGAGACGTTTCAATGGGGCGACAATGCGGCCGCAGCCTCCTTTGTTGTTATTTGCAGTTGTTCTAACCTTAGTAATTTACCATGAGGCGGACTGTAATTTCATCTGTCAATCTAAATTTATTTTATTTCTTAAGACACGTAAAGAGTTGTAAGCTAAAATTTTGCGCGCAAGTTAAAAAAGTTGAATATAATTTGTGTAAAAAAAGTAGAACATAATCTGTATAAAAAGGGTTATTATGATATAAATGAATACATGGTTGATAATAACCCCTGGGAATGCGGTGGTCGCTTCCAAGCTGTTTCTAAAATAAATTTTGTAAATATTTTGTGATCCTTGTTATTGTAAAATTTATTTAAAAAAAGAAAAGGATCGCTGGGTTTCTTGCTGGTTCTTCCCTGGACAGAGGTTTTTTTTTCGAACCAGTGGTAACGTAAAATATTGACTTTCAATAAGAATTACCTGTAATCTATATTGAATAAAAAATAAAAATATAAATTTCTTTGCAACTTTCTACTACTAAGAACTCTTAGCGGTCAGCCGCCGTAGAGTCTATATTACCTGATGATGCCTCGTGTAGAGGCGAAACACGTGTCGTATTATCGTCGATGGTGTGTCTTGCCTGGAATAGTGGTGTTGAGAGTAGTGGTGCTTGGTATAGTGGTGACGGAGTTAGTGTATGCAATTGAGGGAGGGCGGGAGGTGCGCTTCATTCCAGGTAAGACACATCATTTTATATGTTTAGCGGAAAGTTGCAAAGAAATTTATATTTTTATTTTTTATTATAATGGATTTCCGCAAAGTAACGCCTGATTCTATCAATTATCTATATTGAATAAAAAAATTATTCTATTCTATTCTGTCTATTCTTTGATTAAGCTGGCTATTATGTTAACATATTTGGACATCACATTTTGTTGCGTGTATAAGTTTGGCAGAGCGCTCTGTCTTTGCATGTCCTGCTCGGACATCTGTGCTTCTAAAGCAGATAATAGATAATAGCATTATTTTATGTGTACTATGCCAACTTCGGACAGTAGATAATCAATAAAGTCTTGATTTCCTCGGTGATGAAAGACTAATTTGAACCTTCTTTTGCTAGATTATTAAACAAAGTTGTTCTGGCACTGTACCTGATCATTTCTACCTACTTTAAGGTAGTAAATTTCACATAACAATCATTCCGACTTGGTTATTTTTTGTAATTGTTATATATTATACTTGTTGATTTTTTTACCGTCTGGAAAAAAATAGGATGTAACAGGTGAACGGAATCGAAGCTTATTGCACTAGTATTTTACAATTTTTTTTATTTCACATTAACATATTATGAAATTGATCTATCAATAAATACTGCTAATTGGGTACATATTATTTTAATTTCGATAGTTTTCATTTGATTTATTTAGTTCAAAAATTTTGTTGTTATTACCGAAACACCGGTAGTATATAAATAAGTATAATATATGTGTCCTCTGAGTCTGGAGGACAAACATCCAAACCCGGGGCAATTACTTGTAAACCATACAAATACTTATTACATGCGGGATTCGAACCCGCGGCCCTTAGTGCTGCAACTCATTGCTAAGCCACTGCGCTACGGAGCCGTCGTTAGGGTAGTCCTATGTTTAGCAGTGGACTTATGAAGGGCTGTAATGATGATGATGATGATGGAGCATTCTAAAACTCTGACGATGTTTTTTTATCCAGGACGAACTAACGAACAATTAGACAAGATAGGGTAAGGATTCTTTTTACTCGTCCGAGAACCCGTTTGAAGCGGACAAAAAAATCAACGTCGCTCGAAGAACAGATGAGCATGATAACGTGACTACAAGAAACTGCTTATATTCATTTCTTGGGAGGTTTCGGGGCTTCTTGTCGAGTTTGGATGGGCCATCAAAATTTACGACGATTCTCTTTCCGATCGGAATACAATGACTGCTTCGTTTGTTTGGTGATCCTAAACGTGGTTGTTTATGAATCATTGTCATCACGGTCCCGGGTCAAAATAAGTTATTAGGTATGTCTGTCAAGGAATTCTCAGCAACAGCCCGGAGTCAGGAAAATGGCGGTGTTTCACCCCTGTGCCTCTGAAAACACGTGTAAAGACGGTGGTCCTGCACGCGATCTCTCTCCGGTCATGTCGAATTACCGTCCCACCGGTCTGCGAGAGTGAGGGAATAGAGAGTATATAATATACCTGTTCTTGCGCGTACTCGTGCAGATGGTTAGTCTTCGTTGAGACTAGCCGTCGTGACTGGAATTCTGTGTGATGTGACTGTGACTGCTGAACCTAGTCCCACCCTCCATAAATTCCCTCATATTGGGGATATTTGGCATAGTTAGCACGCTTGGAAATCGCAGTTATTTTCACCGTTATTAGTTAAAAGCTTAGTTCTTCTATTCAATACTAGATGGCGCTGGAGGTGGAAAGTTTCCAGCATGGCATTTCTTAGAAAGCTCTCGCTCTGTTCCCCGACACTAGATGGCGCTAGTGCCAGGTACCAGACATCAACTTAGGCGCGCAACATTAGAAAAACGCTGCTGCCTATCTCCTGATTTGTACCTCTGTGTCGCCCCTTACACTTACACACCCACGGGATTATATGGGGTAGTGGATATTCTCACATCGCTACTACAACATTGTGCAGTACGACGCAGGGCGTACCTTCGCATATGTCGCAGTAGGGGCGCGGCGGCGGCGGCGTGCGGGCAGCGGGCGCGGGCGCATCCGCCTGGCGCGGGCACTCCTCGGTGTCGTGCGCGTCGAACATGTCGCAGATGTCGCAGAACAGCCGAGGCGCCCGCGTTTTGCGACCGTTGCTGCGGAAAATATCTTGTCAAATTCCACGTGGAGATATGAAATAAAACGCACATATAACTTTAAATTATAATTAATTTTAAGAGCCAACAGTTGCGTGACATTATCAGTATAACAGTACAAAAAACGATGAGCTGATATTTTTATCCAGCTACGTAGTATGTTAAAGCACCATCGTACATATAGGTAATAATCATGATCAGCAGAGTAGACCAGCTCTAATATGTCATAAATCAAAACATTGGCGGCGGTGTCCATTTCTGGTAAAATTTCACTCGCACACTATATTGTTCACAGAAAAACAGCAAATACATGGGTAACATTACCCCTGTGACAAGTCCGAGAATTCCGGCTAACTTCGGTTTCGTTGGATGCTATCTCACGCTGTCACATTAATCGTTATGGGATGTCATTAATTGGCAACAATAGACTCAGACGCAGACGCAGAACGACAGGCTAGAGTAAGCGTCTGCGCTTGCTCTCTTGCAAACGGTGCACCCTTCTGTCCAACGGCTAAGTCTAGTATGGCATGCAAATATATATGAAAATACACAAAATATACAGAAAAATCATCGAAAACCACAGAACCAAAATACACAGAAAAGCAGAGATATCAGTGGGAAGGCAGTGGCGAAGCTAGGGCTCCAAACTAGGGCAAGCCCAAGATATGGTTTTCAGCAGTTTTATAAAAATACACCAATCTTGATCTGTCTCCACTCTTCAGTTTCATATTCAGTGCTGTTGAGGACGTGTTTAACAAAGCACACAGAAGGGATACTACTGCTAGATAGATTGTATGACATAATATCAGCAATTGCATACCTTCGGTGGATTTGAAAAAAGCCGTTTGGGTTTGTTTGAGTGAAAGAAAAAGATATTACATACAATACAATACATGAAACAAAATTAAAAAAAGAACGCCTGGCAGACTTGAAACATGGAAATTATTGTGTTTAAGTTATTTGCATAATAATAAGGAAAGATAAAGCATTACAATTTTTCTTCCATAAAATAATGACTGTTTATTATATAATTATTCATTTTCAATTTTAATAAACCGTACAAAATGATATTTTTAACTTGGCATGGCTAAGGTAATATAAACATTGAATTACTAAGTTATCCAATAGCGTTTTTGTGCCATCTAGCATATTTTTTAAGTACTACCGTGAGAGTCAATCAATTTTCGGTCGATAAAATGACTTCACCTATAGAATTAACTAGATGGCGTTATTAAAATTTTAGACTAAAGGAAATATTCTTTAAAAACCTCAATACAGGTATTCTTTTGATTTATTACATTAAAATTTAGGCTTCACATTAAAAAAAGATTGTAACAATTATTTGCTACAAAATTAAACTTACACCTATCTCATATTTTATGCTGCCGTTCAAAATGATATTTTTAACTCATATGGTAATCTCACTCATATCGAATTATTAAACCTTAAAATACGCCTAGCTTAATTAAACTTTACTACTAAAGAGTTACCTTAAAATACCTATTAAATTATGAAGAAATGTTCAATGAACTAAAATTTCATTTTTAAAGATTTTACTTTTTCTTTACCGATTAGCACTTTAACTCACTTCAATGCATCACAAGGAACACTATTATCCTCCATTTTCACTAAAAATCTTTAAAAAGGCATAAATTTACAACTCGCAATATTCATTTGCTCAAGCTAAACACACAGAGTAAATAAACATTGAAATGTGAAGTGAACTTGCAAACGTATCGTCCGCGCTTCACTTTCATCAACTTCATACCAAAAGTCCGGCTTAACGCTCTATACTAAATTGCTGTGTAAACAATCGTAGTTATATTTCATTATTTTTTTGCCACAGGTTAGAAAGAGAGCGATCGTTTTGTCGAAAGCCCGGTAAAAAGGCCACGCGTGCGAGAGATCCGACTAATCGCTCAACTCAACTCTTTGCTTTCATTAATTTTGACAGTATATTGCGTGTTCGCTTTGAGACAGAAAGAACACGAATCAGTGTATTTCGAATTGAAAGCAAACTGCCAAGTGTTGTCATGACCTGTGTAGAACAGAGGAGCGCGCGGGAAATTTGAAATAGTTTTAAACAGTTCACGAGTTATTTCATTAGTTGGTATTATTGATTGAGTAGTTTGATAGGGAAAGTCCGGCTTCTGGGCTTTATGGAGGCTTTGCCACCGTGCGAAGGTTATCCTTCACCAAACTGCCCAGCGTACTTTGACCGCTGCGGCAAGAAAGTTTTCAAGAAACGCATGCCAGCTGGTGCATTTTTAGATAGGCAACTGTGGGGCAGTGAACTTATAAAGGGTACAATGTTACACAGTATAAATTAACGAAAACGAAATTAATAGTACTAAGTACTAATTTGATTAATGATTTGAGTTTTCACTTTCAATACAATATATTTTGTTAAATAATATTAAGTAATTATTATGATTTCTTATATTTACGCGAACGCTACAAATTGAATAAAACTTTTTTTATGGATTTGATCGTCTTTTATTTTACTTATTTTTATCTTCTGCCGTATCGGGTGCTTTGCAGCACCTATGGTCACTGAAGTGATTGACTTCCCGATGTAAACATTGACAGGCAGCACCTTCAGGTTTTTTAAAATTATTTATTTTGGTCCGATCTACACAGAATGCTTATTGTGTCTTGATTTATGAAACATAGATCCAGGGTCAACTTCAGTTAAATAATTATATTAGCTAATAAACACCGTAGGGAAATATTATGATATAATATGCAGCTATAAGTTAAAAACAAATGTAAACAGACTTCAGATAATTTCTTCGAAACAAAACGACACCGACAATAACACAAAACCGATAAAATAATTTCGGAGATTTTACGTAACATATATGTATGATAATTCGACTGATTAAGAACTTGCTCTTTTGATATGACGTATTTAAAAGTTAAGCTTTAGTTCTTTACCTTCAGGTTTTACGAGTTTTAAATGCATAATCTATCGAAAAAAAATAACTTAATCCGTACTATAAACTGAACAGATTATAATAATATTTATTAAAATCTATTAGAAACCTTTTTTTATTTTAAATCTCAAATTGTTTCATATCCAAGACAAATACGTAATGTTATTTATACTGAAAACAATAGTGCTACTGCAAATAAAAGATCAATAATTTCTGTTTATGGTTAAGGTTAATAATTCGTTCTTACGTTGTACATCTTTCTCTATCCGACAACTTATAAATAAAAATATGTAATAGGAAACTTACAAAAGCGGAGGTTCGCTTGTGATAGTACCACCTTCGAGTGCTTGAACTCTTGCCATTAGTTGCTCATTTTTACGCTGCATGTCGACTATCACAGAATTCAAAAAACTCACTTGACCTTCTATTTCTTTTTCCTCTTGTATCCTATTCAAATCAAAAATGATTTACACTAGTTACATTTATATGTCTAAAACAGTTGGAATTATACTAATAATACAATTTACTACCTTGTGGATGCATTGTCACCTTGTCCCAAAGTACCTACAGCGTTATTATCATTTTTATCACGTACGCTGGTACCAATTGATGCTATTTCTTTTTGCAATATAATTTTTTCCCTCTCGGCTACTTCCGCTTTGACCTTGTGATTCTGAAAATTTCACGTAGAATATAATACTACACTAAAATGTACTTAGTATAATTATATAAAACGTTGTTACGATACCTTTAACTCTTCTTGTAACCTTGTTATCATTTCGTCTTTAAGCTTTAAATCCCTAATTTTAATATCAACTTCTTCTTTCAGATTATTTATTGTCAATTCGCTATTAGCTAGAGTTTCGGCACAAGATTTTCTTGCAGCTTGTAATTCAATCGTCAACGTTTGTAATTTATCGTCCTTATTTATATCACTAAGTTGTTGCACGGTTAACAATTCTAATTTTTCTGATAAGTCTAATATTCTTTTTTCAGCGTCCGTAAGTTTACTTTGAAGTTGATGTTGTTTCTCAGATTCTTCTTTATATTTGTCTTTCGATTCTTGTAATTGTTTTTCATAGCAGATTATTTTATTCTTCAGTTCATGTTGCACGCTTTTATTTTCCTTTCTATACTGATCAAATTGCATTTGAAGTTGTTTATTTAGATCTTCGTAATTTAATTTTTGCCCTTCATTGATATTTGTTAATTGTTTGATATCGCTATCAGATTTTGCTAACAATTCTTGTAATTCAGCAACTTTTTCCTGAGTTTTCTGAAGGTTTTCTAGTTGTTTTTCTTTTTCTGAAATTTGATTCCTAAGGGAATTTGTTTCATTTGTAAGAGATTCAACTTCATTTTTGTGTTCTACCCTTAATTGTTCATTTTCTGACTGGAGTACATTGAAAGCATGCATCTTTTCATCAGACCCTGATTTTAAGGCATCCTTTAGTTCAATAAGTCGATTTTCATTTTCTTCTAAAACCTTGTCTTTATTTATTACTTCCACTCTTAGTTGAGCAATTTTTTCTTCTAATTGTTTAATTTTCTCCGAGTCGGCTTTAAGTTGGTCAACGTGAGATCTAATTAAATCGTCTTTTTTCTCTACTTCTTTAGATAAGTTTGTTGTTATGTCAACATTTTCTTTTAATTTCGTTGCTACCTCTTCAGACTTAGTTTTTAATTCACTAAGCTCATTTGAGGCATCATTGTATTTAGATTCTAAAGCTGTTTTTTCATTACGAATTGTAATCATTTCTTTCCTTAGTGTCTCCATTTGATCCATCTGATCTTTTAACATGGACTCTTCAGCAGATGCATTGCTTAACAAATTTTCATATTTTTGTTTTATTGCTAATGCTTCAGCGGTAATATTGTTATATTGTTCCTCTAACTTTTTTTTACTATCCGTAACTTTATTTAACTCTTCATTTACTTGCGCTAACTGTCGGTCTTTTTCAGCAACCAATTCTATGTGTGACTTAACATCGATTTCTATCATTTCTAACTTCAATGTTAAATCTTTTACAATATTTTGCTTTTCTTCAAGAAGTTCCTTTAATCTTTGTTCTTCTGTTTTGTATTTGCTCAATTCTTCAGTAATTGTAACCAACTGAACTTGAACATGAGATATCTCTTTTTCGTGCTGAATTGTTTGGTTTTTCATCTGTCCTGTCATATCTTCCAATATTTTTTGTAGAGCATCTTCATGTTTTCTTGCTTCTTCTAGTTTATTATTCAAATCATTTTGTGCTTCAGTTAATTGATCAACCTTTTCCATGAGTTTAACTTCAGACGTTGCACCTTCAGCTTTCAACATCGATACCTCTTCCTTGTATCTATCGATTTCTACTTCCAATTTTTTACGTATAGATTCATACTCAATACTTAATTCTTGTTCTTTTACCTTAAGATTCTCTATTTCTCTTTTAAGAATAGAATTTTCATCTAATAGTGAATCGTTTTGGTTTTCTAATTCTCTTGTACGATTATTAAGTTGAATTGCATGCATTTCGAATTCTTTTATTTTATTTTCTTCTGATTTTTGTTTTTCAATACTTTCGTTTATAGAATCTAATAACTGGCCACGTTCTACTGAGAATTCTTCTTGCAATTTAAATATTTTCTGTTTTAATTCTTGCTCGACACGTCCATGATTATTACTGATTTCTCTATGCTTATCTCTTAATTCTTGAAGCTCTTTCTCAGTATCTTTTAAGTGTTGTGATAATTTATTGAACTGTTCATTGGAATCGGTTGCTTGTCCTGTAAGATTCATATATTCATTTTCTACTTTTTCTTTAGATTTTTGTAATTCTTCACATTTTTCTAAAGTGCTACTTAACTGCCGTTTCAATTCTCCAATTTCTAATTCCATAGCTGACATTTTTTCTTTTAGTTCATTATTACTTTGTGTTAATTCGTCAACTGACTGTTTTAATCGTTCGTTTTCTAGTTTCAGTGTCTTTATTTCATCCATATTGACTGAAAATTGTGAATTAAGGGTGTCTAATTCCACTTTACTTTGTTCCAAAGCTAGTTTATGAACGTCAATTTCTTTTAGGAGCTGTTCTATTTTTGCATTACGGTCATCAATTTCCTTTCTATGCTCTTCTGCAATTTTACTATGCTTGATATTAAAATTGGCCGTAGCTTGTTCGAAATCATCTTTAAGTTTTATTATTTCCTTATCCCTTTCATGAAGCGTTTGCTTGTATTCATTAATGAGTTTTTCATTGGAACTAGATGTTTCAGCAGATTCGGTAAGCAACCTCTCATATTCTTTTGTCTTTGATTGTAAACCTTGCTGTAATTTTAAAATTTCACTTTTGTATTGTTCATTTTGTTGAGACAACTCATTTAAGAAACTTTCGTATTCATTAACTTTAACTGCAAGCTCTTCCTTGGCACGTCCAACTTCTTCTTGTAAACTCTTGCACAATGTTTCTTGTTTTTTCTTTAAATCTTCTAATTCTTCAATATCTAATATTTTTGAACTTAGTTCCATTTTTAATTTTGTTATTTCTTTATTCAAGCTTACTTCATGCTCCTTGCTTGCTCCCAGAACTAAAATAAAAAAGACAACATTTGTATTAAAAACTATAAGGTTTTCTAGTTATCAAATTTTTTTCTTACCTTTATTTAATTCTAATGTTTTATCATCAAGAACGGCTTGCAGTTGAGTTATCTTAGTATTTAGATCAATAACAGTTTGGCTATTTTCTTTATTAAGTCTCTCGACGTTTTGTTTTTCTGCATCAAGTTTCGATTCTGCCAGTTGCAATTTAGCAGTTAATACTGAGACCTGAGTTTCAAATTCAGTTTGAGATATTGCAATTTTGGTTTTCGCTTCGTTTAATGCTTTTTCTGATTCTGCTTTGACCCGTGTTAGCTCTTCGGACAAGCTCTTACCCAGGGAATCCTTTTCACTTTCCTTTTCTTTGAGAAGAGCGTACGCTTCATCCAACAATTTTTGCAGCTCTGAAGATAAGGCTAAAAATTTAAAAAAAAGCTTCCATTTAATTTGTACCAAGACATTTGATTTATTGATAAGACAGTAATATATACACAACAAACCACAAACTTTAAAGTTTTTAATTAGATTCACCCCTTCGAACTTCAACACTCTTAACATATGCTTTTGAGCTATTTTGGAGTGGTTAATAAAATATTTGTAACATTAATAGCATTGCTAGTGTCATAATCATGAAAACAAGATTTATACACTCACTATGGGCTGCAGATAGTTCTTCTTTATATTGTTCGGCCATTGCGGCTACTTCAGCACTTCGTTGATCCTCAAGCGCTTTCAACGCCGCCGCTGTTGTTTCAGCCCTTGCCGCTTGTAGAGCAACTTCTGCTTCAAGTTCTCGAATGTGTTTCTCCCTAGCCGCTTTCTCTTGCTATAATTACAAAAAAAGGTTCTACATAATTCAAAAAGTTATCATAAACGATGTTGCGGGGTAGTAAAAGTGTCGCCGCACAGTCAACAGTCTTTTACTCGTATTGATATTTTTAATTTATTTACTAGTCTTCGGAAATAATAGAAATCTATGCAAACTAAATATGTTATTGGACAATATTAAAAATAATAAACGGTAACAAGAGATAATAACTTATTTTTTCTGTACCACATATACAAGGTGCGCCTGAGAAACTTACTTATTTGAAAGGTAAATAAAAACAAAAGTACTTCAGTTATTGTTTAAATTCTTTTTTATTTAAAAATACAATATCTCAAGTTTTTTTTCGTACAGTGTTAAAAATGACCGGTTAAATGGTGACCCCCATTGTGCATACACTGATGAAGTCAATTTCTGACGTTCGTCTCCACTCTTCGCAGTAAATCAATCGTTATGTTGGCAATGGCATCACGAATGTTGTTGTTGAAGTGAGCTATGGTCCGTGGTCGATCGACATAAACCAGGGATTTCAAATAACCTCATAAATAAAAATCGCATGGAGCCAAATCTGGAGAGCATGCCGGCCATGGGAGATCGCCTCTGAGAGAGATGAGGCGGTCGGGGAAATGTTGTCGCAACAAATCCATTGGGACTCGTGCTGTGAGTGCTGTGGCTCCATTTTGCTGAAACCACACGTCCCTAACGTTCATTTCTTCGAGGCTTGGAAAAAAAATTCCTCGATCGTTTTCTTAAAAAAAAAAACTAAGGACCAATTATCCCCATTACCGATATCGCACACCAGACAGTAACTCGTTCACAATGAAGTGGCTTCTGGAGAAGTTTACACGGATATCCACCACTCCGATAACGCATGTTCTGTTTGTTGACGCAGCCGGAAATGTTAAAATGAGCCTCGTCACTGAAAAAAACGACCGCGTCTTGAGTCAGGTTGTCAAGCAGCACTTCACATGCATTTTGACGAGTAACAAAATCGCGTTTAGTTAATTCTTGCACAACAGCCATTTTATAGGGATGAAATTTAAGGTCTTCATGAAGAATTCGTCGAACAGTGGTGTCAGAAATTCCCAGAGCAGCTGCATGTTTGCGAGCCGAACGCCGGGAAGAACGCAGAATTGACTGCTGCACTCTTTCGATATTTTCCGGAGTTCTGGTGGTCTGTTGATGTCCATTCCTGAGTTTGGTGACACTTACACACTCGTGAAATGAGTGAACCCACGACAGAAGCGAATTACGGCCAGGAACGAGTCTGTGAGGAGGAATTTCAAAAGGAGTGCGGAAGGCACGTTGCGTAGCAATAAGTAAGCGGCCGTTAGAAAAGAAGCTCTCGACGGCGAACACCCGCTGCTCCCTAGACCAGAGCATGATGGTAACTAACTAGAGGGGGAAACAAACTTGGAGACTTCCCACTCCAGATGCATCACCTCTCTCCCCTCTACCCTCTCAAATCACCGATCGGGAGTTTTTTCAAATAAGTAAGTTTCTCAGGCGTACCCTATACATCAATACGACATAGTAAAATCAAATAAATAATATATAGACTATAACACAATAGCCTTATTTGCGTATTTAATAAAAAAATGAATTATTATGAATTTAAATTTCTATGAAATAAAATTTTATTTTCCTCAGCTTCTGAAAAACAACAATAATTATAAAAAATATCAATGTAAAAAACAAATATAAAACTACTCACCTCCATGGCTTCTTTATATCTCTGAAAATATAAATGAAAGGCATAGTTTTAATCACTATTTATGTAAAAAGATAAATAAAACATTTCAGTGGTCCATAGAATGCTTACGTTATAGTCTTCTCGATTAATATTCTCTTCTTCGGTTCGAAACATAAGGTCCTCCACCTTCTGCCTTTCGTCCTCCAGCATCTTGTTAAGCTTGTCCAACTCGGCCTTGAGTTTCGCATTCTCAGTATTTGCCTGAAACATAAAAACATTTTTGTTGGTCTTATCAATAAATACCGACCATCATACCAACAGTTCGTATAAAGATACGAGGGTGGATTGAAAAGTACTCGGCCTAACCAAGAAAATAAACACATACTAAATCAGTTATATTTTTATTTTTCTACATTATCACCATCAAGTTCTTTTGCCACCTCCCCTTCCAAGCATTTAGACCGTTGAAAAAAAAAATGACTCTTCCTTAGAGTCAAAATATGCGTCTACAGCTGCTTTGACCTCGTCGTTTGTCGAAAATCTTTGAACTCCCAAGTGCTTTTTTAGGTTAGGGATCAGAAAGAAGTCTGATGGTGCCAGATCAGGTGAATACGGCGGATGCGGTAACAGTTCAAAGCCACAGTTGTGAATTTCAGCCATTGACTGTACTGACGTGTGAACACGGGCGTTATCTTGATGAAACAGGACTTTTCTTCTGAGCATTCCTCGACGTTTTTCTTTTATTTCCTCTCGTAAACGACGTAGTAAGGTGCAGTAGTAATCAGAGTTTATAGTCTGACCCCTTTCAAGATAATCAATCATAATCACACCTTTCGAGTCCCAGAATACTGAAGCCATCACCTTATTTGCCGACAAAATCGACTTAGCCTTTTTAGGGGGTGGTGAACCAGGTCTTCTCCACTGTTCTGATTGTTGTTTTGTTTCCGGTGTACAGTAATGAACCCATGTTTCGTCCATAGTAACAAAACGATTCAAAAAATCATCTGCCTCGGCCTCAAATAACTCCAAACAGTCGCGTGAAATAGTCAATCGCGTCCTTTTTTGTTCAACTGAAAGCAGTCGCGGAACCCACCTCGCAGACACCTTGTGGAAACCCAACTCGTTGACAATGATGTTTTGAGTTCGTTCATAAGAGATGCCTATAATCTCGGCTATCTCTCTAATTTTTAATCTGCGGTCTCCCATTATTAAATCAAGTACTTTTTTAATATTTTCGTCAGTAGTTGACGTCGAAGGCCTTCCAGAGCGGGGTTCATCTTTCACACTCTCTCTACCACGCTTAAATTCTGCTATCCATTTTTTGACGGATGAATATGACAGAGCACAATCGCCTAATGTACTGACCATGTCATCATGGATGGCTTTTGATGATAGCCCCTTCTTATGGAGGTACTTAATGACGGCACGCTGCTCGATTTTCTCCATTCGCGGAAATTATGTCCGATTACTTTGTTAATAAATTTATAAAATCACAACTAATTATCGCACATGTTTCGAACTTCACACAATGAACTAGTCTGAACTGAACTAAATAATGTGGGTAGATTTGATTTTTAGAATTGAATGGATCTGTGTTAGGCCGAGTACTTTTCAATCCACCCTCGTATAATAGCTATTAGATTAAAGTAGATCCAATATTAGTTTTAGAGCCACAATGTACCTATTCATTATTACAGCAGCACAAATGCCAGCAGAAAGTCCACGCTCTCACAGAATACTAACATATAATGCTGCTATAACTGGAAAAACATCGTATTGCTAACGAGGTATTCCATAGGCAATATAGGCATAGATAACGTAACTGATTTCTAATCGAAAACAGATGGTAACTTGGTGTTCGTTGTCACACTTTATTGGGTAAAGTTAGCACGATATAATATATTTTGGATGTCAACAGTCACACCTATAGATATTCCCACTAATAAAAGGTTGCCGATATCTCGCTTCCTAAGCAACATCACTATATGTTAGCGGGAATCAAACTTACGTTGTTTGCAGGCTATAAAATGAAAGGCAAGCGCTTAGCCCCTAACCTTTTACGAATTTGATTAAATCAAAATATAAGCACGCTCAATGTGTACTAAAATTATTCGATATTCGATTTGTTCTTCAGGAGCGTACTCTCAAATGAAAAATTAATTTGCTACGTTTTTGCTTGATTACATTCATCTAGAATCTAGTAGATACGCGAAGTAAAACTATAGCTGACCGTTGTAAAATAAATAAGCACATATGTACCTGTGTAGCTTCCTTTTTAATCTGTTCCAATGCGGTCTCCGCTCTTTCTGCCTGAAGGGACACTTTAGCAACCTCGGCACGCTCCAATTCTCTTTCACGCATCAACCGTTCTAGATGATGTTGCTTCTCTCGTAATAGCTCCTGTTGTCGGTTTAAAATGAATTCTTGAGCGTACCAATTTATTAAAATTCACATTAATCACCTACTACACATTTCAATCAAAAGGTACTAAGTTTTTTATAACAAATGAATATATAAAATTAAAATAAAATTCCACAATAAACCATTTAGGTACAATATTGATTTATAGCATTAAAACAAAGATTTTCTATTCAACATGCTTATAAAAATATTATTATAAGAACAAACATGCTAGGGGGAATGCCAGAAGAACTAGTAAACCTAGTTTTACCCAGCTTTTTGGGTAAAGTCTGAATAATAATTAAAATAACTATGACTTTTGTTAATTTCGTCAAAATTAGAAAGCATCAATCAAGTAATAATAATACCAGCGACAGTAGATGTCTGGCTGTCATATATGTACTTTATAAATTATTTAGACTTTACCCAAATAATCGGGTAGACTTTAGTTTACTAGCTCTTCGAGTATTACACGTAGCATAAATCACTTTAATATTTAAAAATTATTTCCAAGAGGGAGGCAAAAAAAAACCATTTCAAACACCAACACTCACCAGCAAACCAGCAACTACATATCATTTCAAATAAGAGACTTAAATGTTTTTAATCGTAGTAGAAACTCTTATTATAAAAGATATTTAAGATATCTAAGCATAAAGAATTATAGCTTTTTTTCTAATGTGAGATAATGCTCGGCCTCAGACTACAGCGATACTTTTAGAGTACCTAAGGGAGGCCGAAATCGAAGTTTTTAAGTGGCCAATACGCCCGCGAAACTTAAACCACAACCTTAAACTACTATTAACATATATTCTTCTTAGGCTGTGCCTAAACTTAGATAATAAGTTACGGAAATTATGAATAGCTAAATTAAGAAATTTCGAAAGCACATTAGCAGAAGCATGAAATCTAATGTTACAGTTTTATGGAAACTTAAAAAAACATGCCCAGATGAATATACTATAGCTTAAGTAATAACTACAGCTTAAATAAAGTAGAAACATACATTTAGCCTTTTCTTTATGTTAATTTGATTAAACAATTATTATTATTTAAAGTCCAATGAAATAAATAAAAGATTTTATGCTAATAGAATTGTCACTGTATTCCTTCAAATATGTCCGTGAGTGTAGAACAAAGACGTTGTAATTGTTTTTTTTAATTGACGGTCGATTAGTTGACATCATTTATAGCACATTATGCTAATTAAGCTATCAAGGCGCTATACTGCGTACACATATGCGGTCAACGCTGTGTATCATCATACTCGTACGTTTAACCATAATATATTTAACACGTATTAAACCATAAACATTATTGATTATATACAAGCAATTATGATATATCGTAAGAAATAAGTTTAATACAATAATTATTTTTAGTGGTTAGGTATATATTTTTAATTAAATTATTTACGAATTACATAAATTCTTATTTACCGCCAGTTGATAAATAAATGAAAAACACGTACCTAGCTATGTATGTTATAGCATTGCATGCGTAATTAAAATATTTAGGAACGTTATAAAATATATGATTCACTAGCAAATCTAATAATACCTATATAAAAATTAATATTTGTTTGTTCGTATTTTATGCGCTGTCAAACCGTTCAAATTACGGTAAAACTTTGTCAACGTATTGTTTGCACTTCCGCAAAGGTTACAAGGCATAGTTGGATCCGGTAGGAGACGCTGTTGTAAAATCCAAATATCACTCCAAATATCAGCGGCATCGCGCTGTATACTGCCAGCATGCTTCACTTTTCAATTATTGGAAGGTAATCTTAATTTTGTTGTACCTTTAGATTATTTTTTACAAATTGGTAATTGTGCAAAGTAGGTCTACGCTAGGCAGTGAAATCTTGCGGTCTGAAATAACATAATATTGTACTGCCGCGTTTGGGGTCTATAGGGGTGTGTAAGGAGTATTATTATATTATTATGGACTGTGATCATAAGCACAGAATATATAATAGTACTACGTACAGAAGTTGCACTCCTTTGATGTTCACTACTTGAAGTATTAATAGTCTACAACCTACATAATGCTACTATACACATTGTTAATTAGATTAGATCAATCACTCACGCAAGCTAAATTAAACCTTATCGCTGCGCGCGAGTGTCCGTATGGCTTTGCATCATTTCCTCATCCGAACGATATTTCATGGTTATCAAGGGCTTTCAATTATGAGTGAAAGCTACAGTATGTTTAAAGTACCTTTTGATTATTTATTTGATTTACAACTGTTTTACTTTAATATACAGTGCATTAGGGTAAGATCGGTGATGGGGTAAGACCGTAAAATTCAAATTTCCGGTGAATTATGCTATATTTTTGAAAGCTAGCAATATGGTACAAGACTCCATTTTATTCTGCCCCGACCCCAAGTTTCAGCCAGTCGCTAGAAAAGTAGGGCTTGTGCTGCGCAGTATTTTATAAAACAAGGTAATTTTTGAATTTTTTTCGTCTGTCCGGTCTTTCCCTATCACTTTTATTTGCGATTTTAGCGACGTCCGGGCTTACCGCTCGATGGCCAATTCTTCATCATGCATATAACAAAATTATGCCTTGTCTTCGCACACGTTTGCAGAAACTGTTGAGTTTTGAAAAGTAAAAGCTTCTTATAGCTAAATTACGTGTAACCATTAATGGATGTCGAGAAAATAAAGTTTTTGCCAGACTCTTTTAACTAGTCGAAAATTCGTCCGGTATTGCCCCAACGCACCTTAATGTCTTATATTTTTTACTTTCAATAAACAAAAGATTATTAAATTTAAGAGTGGAAAAAGCTCTAAATCTAACGTATAATTTTAAGTATTTCTCTTTAATAATTATAATAAATTATTTGCTGGTTTTACCATTATCGTGTTTTCAAGATTTTTAATGAATATATTTTCTATAATATACATATAAATTACACTAAAACTTAAGCAACTATTTTATTCTGTAACTAAATATACTAAACAATAATAAGATCATACTATTTATATAAACAGAGTTAAGCTCGCCAAAAACGCGATAGCCCTGACTGCGTATGCAAGCTGAAGTTCCGTGCGATTGAAGGCATTTATTTCACACAGGTAGCAAGAGTGACAGAGGCCAAGAGGCACTACATTTTGGTCCGCAGGGGTGATAACTTACCAGTAGCATTCTTTGTTTTTAGTTGGTTGCAGGTGGCATTGGTTACAGTAGTCATTTATTTTAAGGTAGACTAAGCATTGAACTAAATTGTACTAGCATAAGTACATAGTATCTCGATGATTGTAAGTAGGTTTGTTAATTCAGTTTTATAGAAAAATACAAGTTACCTATATGTATAGAATGTAGTTATTATATGGAAACATACTTGACCATAATTTAATAAATCTTATAACATTAATATTTCTTTCTTATTAATTAGGTTACGTTTCGTAACATTATTCATATTTTATCATTTAAATTATGTTAATGTCTCAGATCTGTCGTAATTTTGCGGGGGCAATTGATTTTAATTATACAATGAAAAATTAATATGATTAAATGATATTTAAAATAGAAAATAAATCACAACTAGTGTAGAGTATTGTAGGTTCAAACTAACTGCTTTGCAAGAGAAGTACCGTAAATATTAAAGATGGCAAATATCATTTCGAGATTTTTTTTAAAGAAGAACTGCGTTTAATAACACGAAAAGAGGCTTGTGTGAGCTGCTAATCATACCGACTCAAACGTGAAAAACCTTTTGACTTACTTGATATTAATTTAATGTTGCTATTAAACAGTATGACTCATTTATAGAACATTCAACATTATTATGTAGAAATAAGTAAATGAAAACAATAAAAAGTAGTTTATTTTATCTTTATTTTACTAGTATTTAGCAATATTGATATATTGTAGGGACTAATGGACGTGAATTTTGAAACTCACTTTTATTTCGTTAACTGTTTATAAATTATAATAACATGTAATACCTAGTATGTCGACATGCACTTGAAAAAAAGCATTTATTAGTAGAATAATAAACAATGGAAAGAAGATAAAGAAGCTTTTGAATTAAAGAATGTCTTGTACACTTATCATGCTAGAAAGTACGCAAAGATGATACTCATATTCGCACGTAATACTTGCACAAGCACTTGTCACTTAGCACACAAATCTTCGAACTATTATATACTCTGAGCCTACATTATAAGTGTGTGCTTAATATTTCATAGCCTCAAATTTTTATTACTCTAGTTCAGATGGACCGGGTGTGTTGTTTCTTTATTTAATTCTTTAGATAAGTTTATTTACTGCTGTATACTGTAGTTATATTTAAGTACTTTATACACTTGCTAAGTAAGCTTCGCTAGTAAAGATAGAAGATTTGAACTTCTAGAGTTTTTAAATAATTAAGATATTTAGTTCAAAATTTTTGTTTTTATATTTTTGGTATGGAAATTTTACTTCTAATTGGTAGTTTTCATTGATAGATAAATTTAATAATATGTTAATGAATTAAATAAATTGTAAAATTTCAGTACCATAGGTTTCTACTCCGTTCACCAGTTACGCTCTATTTCTTTCCAGACGGTAAAAAAGTTATCCAGTATAATTTATATTCACAAAATACTAAATTCAGTTTTTCCCTTTACTAACGAGGTAAGTGTGTAAACGGACTATGGAATTTACTGAACCTTATTTCCGTCCGAAAAATACCTAAGTTGTCTTAAATTACACCTAAAGAAAGTTTACCTCAAAAGGTTCTCCGTTTCTCATCATACACCAGACGAAAGAAAACAGCATCAAGTCCTATTTTATGTTGTTATTCTGTTTGAGCGTGTTCCGGTAAGGCTGTGTAAATGTACATATATAGCTTTGTTCTTAAAAGGTTTTGAGAGATCATAATAAAAGTACTGGAAATGTTTTTATTTTAGCTCATGTGAAAAGTGAAATAAACGCTTACCAGAAAGTAAGTGGCCACTGAAGTTTAGACCGCTACAACCAACTTAAAACGAAGAAGTTTACAGATA